TCACATGATACCACTCCTTTCCCTGTAGTTCTAATCTCTCCCACCTGTCATGCCCCAGAGACAGTATTCTGAGGGAGAAGCAGAGAATTGTAGCTATTTCAACCACAGTTCTTTTTTTAAAAAAAAATCATTTGTGAGAAAGAATTTATATAAGCACCTTACCAAATTTAAATAAACCGCTCTACATATTAGGCTAAATGTGTAAAGAGGCTCCAAGAAACCTTGGAACTGTGCTTCTGTGAGATCCTGTAGATCTTGAACAAATAAATGGCATTATTAATTTTATTCTTCTGTTGTCACAAAGGCTACCTTTTGCATAAAGGCATTATGTGGTGTTTTGGGTCATGAAATTTTCCAATGTGTTAGGCTGCTCTTATTCCTTAAGGGGAGAAAAGTCTAAAAACATTTCAACACGTTTTATTTAATTTAGAGATGAGGATTAAAGAAAGCTTTCTTTTTGCAGTGAAATAACCGCAACATATTTTTAAAAGTGATTGTGAGCTAATGAAACCGTGGAACAGATTTGCAGATTCTAAATAGCTCTTGTGTGAAGCATGACTTGATAATAGCAGAAAAATACCTTTATTCATTTAGAAAGGATGAAGAAAATTAATTTCCTTTCAGATTGATTTTACCACATTAAACACGACTGAAACATTATAAATATCAAAGAGGAATATTTCCAGTTAAGGTGCATTGCATAACAACTGCTCTGCTTTGACGGATTTTCTTCTGTGTAAATTTCAAAAGTGAAATGTGATTGTTTTCAAGGAAAAGTACAAAGGTACTCATGATGAATGCAAACTGGACCTGAACTAAAAACTGGACCATTTTCCCCCCTGAACCAGAACACAGCCTGAACTATTCTGTGGGAATCTTTAGCTGCTTTCACACAGAAGTTTTGCTCCAGGCATTTTTAAAAATTGGATCATCCACATGGTTTTGTCTCCCAATCATTCACTTTCTACCGTTTCCTCTCTGACCCAAACCTACTTGAATGTGATCTTTTTAGAAAGACCGTAGCCAAAGCACCTGGCACATTGTATGGACAGGATGATGCATATTCTGGAAGGTCATGCCCACACTGGCACCAGTTGCTATATCATGATCTTCTAGCTCCTCTGGATTCCTAGATTTCATTTAAAAATAGTGTCTAGAAACAGAAAGGTGTTTCCTGCCTACCCCAGTTCAAATTGGCTGTTTTTAGAGAAGCATAAACTCATCAAGAGATCTTGTCAAGGCAGATTATCGTGTCTAATCTGGTTGGTTCCCCTCTCTCTCTCTCTCTCTCTCTCTCTCTCTCTCTCTCTCTCTCT